CCCGAGTAGGCGAAGTCCTCCTGAAGGAGGGCGGCGTAGCGAGCGTCGGGCAGCATGGAGAGGTCCACGGTGCCGCCGCCGGCCTTGTCCTCCGCGGCGGGCTCCTCGTTGTTCCTGCGGTACATGCTGGCGATGCAGAACTTGAGGCGGTCCTTCTCCAGCAGCAGCTTGTGCAGGCGCTCCAGGGAGAGCGCCTCGATGCGCGCGATGACCGTGTCGAAGCGGTACACGCGGTCCAGCATGAAGGCGCACTTGCCGCAGGCGAACTCGGCCCGCCCGTCGCGGCACAGCTCCCTGCCCAGCACGTGCGACAGCAGCACCTGCAGGTTCAGCCTGGCCGCCGTGTGGAAGATCCATCGCCGCTGGTTGCCGCACAGCTCCCGCCCGCAGATGCGGCACGTCTCCTTCATGCTCGCCCCGCCGCGGGAGGGTCACGGCTCGCCGCGCCCTGCGATCCGAACGGCCGGGCCGCCCCGCCGCTGCCCGCCGCTGCCCGCCGCGGACCCGGGCTCCTCCCGCCGCCCCGGGGATGCTCCTGCCACGGCGGCGCCGAGCGACTGGCTCAGGTTTCAAGATGGCGGCGGGCGGCAGCTCCGCGCACGCGCGGCCCGCGCAGCGCCCCACGGGATTTGTAGGCAGGCGGCGGGGCGGTGTAAGCACGCGCACGCGCAGTGCCGCCCGCCCCAAGCGGGTCCCGTCCCAATGGACCGGTCCCGTTGTCCCGTCTCAGCGGACGGGTCCCGTTGTGCCCGTGGCAGCGCTCAGGCCCCGCGGCGGGGGCTGCCTGCAGACCCAGGCACCGCAGCGGTGCTGGGGAGCCTGCCCTGCATCCCGTGCTCCATGCACGCACCTGCGCTGCCGGCTCCTGGGGCTCCACGCGCTGCCCGGGCGCCCGCAGCTCCGGTGGCGGCGGCTCCTCCATCCTCCTGCGGAGCAGCACGGAGATGTCAGGCGCGGGGCCAGCCGGGATGCAGGGCACCCGCCGAGGGGGGCACCCACCTGTCCTTGCGGGCGCGCGCGCCGCCCTCCTCCTCCTCCTTCAGCCGGGCGGCCAGCGCGCGGCACCGCTCCGCCTCGGCCGCCGCCAGCGCCGCCGCCTTGTCCGCCTCGCTCCTGGCCAGCCGCGCTTCCTGCGTGCGGGGCCGTGAGCGGGGTGCACGGGGCACACGGCCCCGCCGCGGCGCCCTGCCGGCACCCACCTCCTGCAGCAGCTGGATCTTGTTCTCCAGCAGCTCGTAGACGTGCTCCGACTCCCGCTGCCTCTCCTCGTACTGCCGCCGCAGCGCGGCCTCGCTGCCCTTGGTCTGCGTCTCCGCCGCCACCCTGCGCGGGGCGAGCGCGATGGCCCCCAAAGCCCTGGCTACCCGCCTGTCTAATCGCCCCCCGCCACCATCCAGGGCTCTGCTCTGCCCCTTGGGCCGTGCCGGGCTTGCAAACACCCCGAACACGCAGGGATGGGAGAGCGGAGGCTGCCCCACCAGCGGGCACGCGCCGCAGCACCCGGGCACGGTGTGCTTAAACCAAACAGCTCCAGCCTAGGGAAAACCACCAAGCCATCGCTGCCTTGTGTGGCATGGGGACTCGTTTGCAACACCAGGGTTGTCCCCGCACAGCCCTGAAAGGAGGGAAAAGCCCCAGGGCCGACATTGCGTGTGCCAAAGCGAGGCCCCGCGCTCGCCCTCCTCGCCAAACAGGTGCTGCCCTCTATTTTTGGCTCCCAGCAGCCGCGCCGGGTCACGCTGCCGCGGGAGGTAAGAGGAGCCCGTAGGGACACCGGGCGCTTTGGCAGCGCCTTGGCCGCGACACCCGCCGTCCCCGAGCCCCAGGGCCGCGCGCGTCCCCCCGCCGGGGCGGGCAGCACCGCTCACCATGTTTTATCCAGCGCCTGCTGCTTCTCCTGCAGCTCCCGCTTCAGGCTCTCCACCTGCACCTTCAGCTCGATGTTCTGCAGGCGGCGCAGCGGCCGTGAGGACAGCGCGGGGGGACCCCCGCAACGGCGCCCCCGGAGCCGCTGCCCGGTGCAGCTGGCACCGCCAGGCACAGTGACACTGGCGCTATTTTAGCCTGCCGGGCGCCGGGACGGGATGTACCCGCTCCAGCTGACTGCCCATTCCCAGCACCCGCCTGCCCTGTGGACGCGGTGGGCGACGCCACGAGCCCCCAAAGTCTCAGAGCCCCTAAAGTCTCGGAGCCCCTAAAGTCTTGGAGCCCCCCAAAGCGCGGCAGGATGAGGGGCGCCCGCCGCCCAGATGCTCCGTCGCTGTCTCCAACCCAGCCCCGTGTCTGCAGCTGCTCCCAAACACCCTGTCCCCCCATGCCCGTGCCCACGGGATGGTGGCGGGCGCTCACCCGCCGGTAGACATCGTCGCGGCCGCCCTCGCCCTTCTGCTGCACGCGCTCCTCCAGGAAGTAGATGCGCAGCTTGAGGCTGAAGTTCTCCTTCTTGAGGTCGTTGAGGTGCTGGGCGAGCGTGCGGTAGCCGTGAGCCATGGCGGGCGCTCCATGGGCGCCGGGGGCGTCCGCGCCGCCCTCCCCTGGCGCCGCCGGCCGTCCCGGTCCCGCGGCTCCCGGCTCCGCCGCGGCCGCCTGCCCGGCGCCCGCCCTCCCCGCTCCCACTCCCGACGCTTCCCTGCTTTTTTTTTTTTTTTTGGTGGGCCTCCCGGAGCTATTTGAGGAATCGCTGGCGCGGAGGGGGCAGACAAGTGGTGAAACCCGAGCGGCGGCGGGCGGCCCCCGCGCGCGCGCGTCACCCGGGGGGAGCCTCCCCGCTCGCCCGCCGCTTCCCCCGTCACCTTCTCCAGGTCGCGCAGGGTCTGCGTCTGCGCCAGGGGGCCCATGTGCAGCTCCCGCAGCAGGCACGTCTGTGCGCAGGGACCCTGCTCGGGGCAGCGCGGTGCCACCTCGGTGCGCGCCGGCGCCCCGGCCTCGGGCGCCTCGGCCAGGGCGGCTGCGAGGGGCAACGCAGCGCTCAGGGACGGGCCCTGCGCGGCATCCATCCCCGAGCGCATGGGGATGCAAGGCATGGGGCGTCTTACCCGCCATGGGGCTGGCGGCGGGCAGCACGACCGGGCACTCGCCGCTGCACGGGTCCCTGCAGAGAGGAGCACGGGGCGGCGTCAGGCGCAGCCGGGTACGGTGCCCTGGGGCACGGCTGCCCCGGCACGAGGGCCACGAGGCTGCGTGCATGGGGACATGTGCACACGTGGTGCTAGCAGGGCCCTGCACGCACGGGATGCATGCCAGGCTGTGCACACACACATGGGCACACATGGGATGCACGCCAGCCTGTGCACACACAGACACCTACGTGCACACGAGGGATGTATACCAGGCTGTACACACACATACGCACATGTGGGATGCACACTGGGCTGTGCACATGTGGGATGCAGGATGCACACTGGGCTGTGCACACGGGGGATGCGGGATGCACACAGCCCTGTGCACACGCAGGATGCAGGATGCACACATCCCTGTGCACATGGGGAAGGTGGGATGCACTCAGCCCTGTGCACATGTGGGATGCGGGACGCACACAGCCCTATGCACATGGAGGATGCGGGATGCACACAGCCCTGTGCACATGGGGAAGGTGGGACGTACACAGCCCTGTGCACATGTGGGATGTGGGATACACACATCCCTGTGCACATGGGGAGGGTGGGATGCACTCAGCCCTGTGCACACGGGGGATGCAGGATGCACACAGCCCTGTGCACATGCATGCATTCCTGCAGCCTGGAGCCTCCGCACTAAGTGCAGAGCCACGAGGCCCCTGGGGACACACAGATGGCAGAGCCCCGCTCCGAGAGCCCCATTAGCAACCCCAGTCCCCCCTGCAGGCAGTGGGGCCACCTGAGCCCCTGCAAACAAATCCCCCCATGGGACGCCGTGGGGCAGTGGGTCATGGGGGGGCTGTATCATCCCTCCCCAGCTGAGCACCGACCCCAGCCCTGTGCCCAGCTGCCCGGCCCCTTACGCCTTCGCAGCTCTACATCCCACTCATGCTTCCCAAGCAGGTTTCCTGCTCTTGGTTATGGAGGTGCAGAGACCAAGCAAACTCATCACAGCGCCTGCCATCAGCCCCGCGCTGCGGGCGCAGCAGCAGGATCCGCTGCCCCCGCTCTGCCAGGGCAGGGCAGAGGCCGAAGCGCCGCCTCTCCGTGCGGCCGCGCACCCCAGCTGCACGCGGGGTTATTTCCACACACACAGACGGGTGAGTCACAGCAGGGTTGAAAGGGGAAAAAAAAACAGTTTTTTTTCCCTAATCCCAAGTGACTCGTGTCAGACAGCGGGTGCAGCTGGGTGTTTGCAGCACCCCCAGCAATGCCCAGAGGCCGGGTACCCCAGGAGACCATACCCAAAGGCACAGATCACACAGGCACGAGGAGGCACCGTGCCCAGAGGCCCAAAATCCACAGCCCCAAATCCACTGACAAGATCCTTGCGGAGCCCACGTCCCGTAGCAGGGCCAGGTGGGCTCCCCATCCAGCCCCCCCGCGCCCTGGCCCCGGCACCAACACTGGGGACTTGTTTTGGGCACAGGCAGGCGCTGCGGAGGACAAGAGCCCTTTCATGCCCGGCCGGGGCGCTCAGCGGAGCCGGCGCCGAGCGAAGCCACAGGGAAGGAGCACGGCCCCGCGCAGCCCCTGGCTCCATCCAGGAAGGGTTTCACACTCCAGCATGCCCCAAAAATGCCCGGTTGCAGGGTGCACGGCTCACGGTGCCTCACAGCGCCCGCCGGCCCCTGCCCAGGACCCCCGCGTCCCATCACCAACGCGCCCAGCTCCGCGCAAGGCACCCAGGGCAGCAGAGAGCAGGAAACTCACCTCCTGCTGGGCTGTCCCGGGCGCGCGGCTGGCACCCCCAGGCCCTCACGGCCAGCGCGGGCTCCCAGGCACGAGCGGTGCCCGCGGCAGGGCCGGGCTGGCACGGGCGCCGCGGCTCCGTGCCGGCCGCAGGACCGAGCACGGCGGAGCCGAGCTCAGGCTGACGCGGCGGCACAAATGTTCCAGCCGGGCCCGACAAATGTTCCAGCGGGGCCCGAGCGTGACCGAGGGAGGTGGAGCCAGGCCACGCGCACAGGGGCTGAGTGTGAGGGTGAGGGTGAGGGTGAGTGTGCGGCACGGCACAGGGCCACCCCGCACCACCCGTGGGCAACAAAGTCTCCACTGAGCGCGGCAGGACAGGCAGCCGGGAGCGGGCGCTGTATGAGCTCCTGGGGTGTCCCGGGGTGGGTGCCCGCACAAATGGGGATGGATGCGGAGGCTGAGGTCCAGCCGGCAGCTTAGACCAGAATCAGACACGAACATGAGCAGGGGGAGGACGAGTGAGGGTGCAAAAATACAGCAAGCGCAAGCCAAGCGAGTGGTCACACAGTGCCCCCATCTGCACTCCCAAATCTCCCTGGTGCTCCTGCAGCGCTGGGCAGGCTGCTCTCGCTCCCGTCTCGCCCGCTCTGCCGTCCCCAAGCGCCTGCCTCGATGCCCGGCATTGCCGGGGCTTGCACAGCGCGGGGCCCACCACCCGACAGGCCTGGCAAGGGGGTGTCCCACGTCCACGCCATGCGCACGGCTGGGGGACACGCGGTGCCTTGCAGGGGAGCAGACACAGCCTCCTAATCCGCACAGCTCCAGGGGAGCCAACCTGCAGCCCGGCCACACCAGTGTGCCGGCAGGCCCCGATCCACCACGGCACCACTGTGCCACCACCATGACAGCATCACAGCACTGTCACCCACGGCACCCCCACAGCACTGTCACCCATGGCACCCTCACGGTGCTGTCATGAGCCAGGAGGGACACGCAGCACCCGCACGTGCGTCCCGGGCGCACCCCGGCCTGCGTCACCCTGGGCGCAAGCGGACAGATGCGCGCGGCAGATCTGCACATGCACACGCGCAGCGGCATTCCCGCATCCCGGCATCCCTGCGCAGCCCGCTCCTCACCTCCGCTGCGGCGCTCGCATCCTGCTCTGCCGGCTGTGCCGCGCCGGCAGCACCGCGCTGCGCTCCACTGGGCTGCGCCGGGCTGCACTGGCCGGGACCGGCAGCGCCGGGCTGCACCGGGCCGGGCTGCACCGGGCTGGGACCGGCAGCGCCGGGCTGCACCGGGCCGGGACCGGCAGCGCCGGGCTGCACCGGGCCGGGCTGCACC